CTCGTCGTGCCTGATTTGCATGGCCAGTGGCAAGATTCAACCCAAGACTCTGGAGTCCTAAAAAGGGCTGGAATGGAGCTGGCTGACTGTTGACTCACATGCTTTGATAGGGCTGGGTGATCGGAAGAGAAGGTACAGCCATTGGTCCCACCTGGGTTTGCGAAACAGAAGTTGCGAATTCCTGCTGGCTGGGAACATCCAGAGGGTGGGGTAACTGGGAAGGAAGGAATGGTTGGACTGATGTGTTTGTCACTAAAGCATGGGAGGCAGGGGCACTCGGGGCAGGAGCACTTGGGACAGAACTTGGGGCAGGGGCACTGGAAGCTGGGGTTCGAAACAAGAGTGCTCGCAATTGAGCAACTTCATCTAAAGTCAGCTGCGACAGATCCATTCTGCCCATACAATTTGTTAGATCCTTTTTCTGAACTATCAGAAAGTATCGAAATCAACTTACTGCGAAATATTAATATCAGAAAAAGATACTGCGATTAAAAGGGAGAAAGTGTTAGCAAGCAACACTTTGGGAAGCAGGCTATAACGACATACAAGATTAAAAGCCTAAGGTTTTGGAGCGATGAAATGACTGGATGTGACTGAAAAGTGTCGCAGAACTCTGAACAAGAGGGGGAGAGATGTTGAAAAGTGAATGTCCTCATTGCTGCTTGTATAAATATCAGGTTGATTCAGGATCACAGAAACCAGCAATTTACAGGTAGTTGAACTACACCAGTGTCGCTTCGGATCACAGAGGCCAGCAATTTACAGGTGGTAAGGCTGCACCAGTGTCGCTTCAGGATCACAGAGGCCAGCAATTTACAGGCAGTGAATCTAGATCAGCATCGCTTCAGGACCGAGGTGGGCAGCAATTTACAGGTGGTAAATCTAGATCAGCATCGCTTCAGGACCAGGTGGGCAGCAATTTACAGGTGGTCAGATGGACATTAGGTAAGCAAATTTTGTTGCCCAATAACCAAAGGTTGATCAGGGGAGACTCCATAAGATGGCCAATGAGGCTACATATCCACGATATAAGTTTGTTGACCTCTGCAGCAATCCAGAAACAGCAGACCATGAATTATTTTAGCCAAAACCAAATCTCGATTCTAAAATCTGTGATCTAGACCATGACTTAGGTAATCAATTTCCCGATCAAAACCATGGCCATACAGCGAAAACCAAGTTCCATGACCAATAATATTTGGTGATAAATAATGTCATAGTTTCTCCTTGACAAATGCAGTGATCACTGCAATTGCCAGTTTGGAACCTCCTGAGCCCCTGCGCCAGTGTGGAGTGGAGTAGGCAGATATGTGTGTTGTGGATCTTCTGGTAACTTGAGGGTGAATGGGAGTCATAAGGTAAGGAAGGGTATCAGCACAGTGTTTTGTTTTTTGACGGATGCGCAAGGATGCCTGTGTCGGTGGATGTTGATTTATGGTGTAGGAGTCTGCGTTTGGTTTTACTGCATTTGATGAGGGATTGGGCATGACGATGGAAGTACTTCCTTTGTGGGTGAGCTGGTGCGCCGGTGGATGTGGAGGATGTACGGGATCGACTCGGCGGTGGTTGTGAATCTCATGTCAAGACTCAACGCCATGGCTTTGACTGGCGATTCGTTACAACCAAGTTCAAGTTCAACGTTCAACGTTGGAACTTGAAGTTGTTGCGATCAGCGCTCGCACGTTGTTCACATCCTTGCGCTTGCTTTGCGCCGTGACGTCAACGACTTGTCCGGGTGCTGCCGACGACCTTCCCTGGAGAGGCGCCCGTGTGCCTGTCTAGATAAGTATTGAAGCCCACCACGCTGAACATGGAATAGCATGGAATCTTATGGGCATCGGTGCGCGTCATTCCCGCACTCAAACGCGCTTGTGCTGTCAACCCTGTACTTTTCCACTTCCAGATTGAACTGTGGATTCTTATGAACTTGCGCTCCAGTGCTTTTCCACCTGGGAAGTTGGGAGCTTGAAAGGCCAGTGCATGCGCTGGATGGAGTAAAGGCAGAGCTACTCGTTCAAATTTAGAACATCTGGCCAATACCTTGTGATGATGATTGATGAAGGCATGTCCGATAACCCTTTCCTTCAATCGTCCATCTTGCTGACGTTTCAATAGGTGCTGGTTGGAAGCAGCTATGTCTACTCTGCCTGGTCGTGATCATACATCCAGTTCTACTCCCTCCTTAGATGGCGAAGGAGGTCCAGATTCAGCGTCTCAAGACGGAACGCCAACGAAAAGGACGGGTCCTAACTACGGTGCGCCCTATCTCGGAAACTTGACTCCTGGCTTCAATGGCCTAATCCACTCGTGCAGTATATTACCGTCTATACACCAAACTCGGTCCATTCGAATCAATTCGCCCCCTCTACGATAACGACCGTTTCATTGGTCGCATTCCAACGAAGTCTTTTGCCCCTCCTCATACCGTGGCATCTATCAAGTGGTCCATATGCAAACTTGAGGGCCTACGGTCGGAGGCCGACAAGGCGCTCCTCTTCACACAGCTCTCAAACCCAGAACCCAATGAAGACTCTGCCCGCCTCTCCTTGTTCGCTCCTTCTGGGCCAGGCCTGTTCGAACAAGATCCGATTGTGTTGGTTGTCGAGTCGGAGAAGAGAACGGAGGAGGTCTCGCAGTCAAAGAAGCTACCGGAACGCTCTGATCATACCGTGACTGATATCCACTATGGCAAGTCTTGTCGACGACTCCTACCCAAACCGTGCACTCATGAGCTTTGCAGTTTACTATCGTGTTTACTCATCGAAAGGAGGAGATCAAAAGGCAAAGACGTCCTTCGACCAAACTGATATTTCGTTAGGACGCCTTAACGCCCTCTTCATCGCGCCCCCTCACACCGCTGGGTCTTTGAAAGCACGCATCGCAAAAGTTGAACGCCTTGTCACGCCGGGTCATGCACTCTACCAGGATATGGAACTCTTCCAAGACATGACTAGTGACACTGCCATGAGTGACACCAATGTCATATCCTTTCAAGGTGACACTTATCCGGGTAGCGATGAAGGCGATCCCGTAGCCCTTGTCAATGCAACCGCCAATATAGCAGCAGACCAAAAGACTAAACTTACACCAGGTAAAGTTCTCAGTGAATATCCACTAGTCACTGCAGCAACAAACCGTGCCCTTTCAGATGGACCAGATTCAAAATTCACGAAACGCGGTCGGTTACTTCTTAGCCTCAGTGAGTAACAGTTCAGAGATAATCCGATTCTCATCCTATTGTATCCCGCCGCAGACTACAGTGATTCCGCCTGGCTATCAATCATCAAAGATGAGATCGTTTACACGGATGGAGTTATCGTCTCCAAAATTTACTCCCTCACCAACTGTATTTCTTTCCTTTTCTGCTTCATCACCAGTTTGTTGATGCTTTGTCGGAACAGGGCCTTGGTCAGGATACATGGTGATTAATTCCAAGGGTGAAAAAGGCTGTGAGTCTCCAATTTGCCTTTGGGTTACTAGGTGGTTTTGATTTTCTTTGGCAGTTGTGCGAATGGGTGAGTGGTCTCCTCCCTCTGTCGGAGTATTTGATATCCATCGTTTTGCTAGATTATGTTAAATTTTTCTGATTAGTGAACACCAGGGAGAGTGTATGCTTTTGGAATGGGATATGTCAGGATTTCGGCTCAGAAGGGGTCAATGTACCGGTCCCGTAGATCTGTTCATATGTAACACAAGGAACGAGGAACTGATCATCCAGCAACTGTCGACCATTGATGCTTTCAAACATTCAGTCCTGTACAAAGATTCAAACGATACATAAGGTATAAGTAACTCGATCATATATATATACACAAACAAAAAAACAAAAACGCTCGCATACGCGCGCATTCATTTATTCATTTCCTCGTCAGCGTCAGTCAAGAAGAGATCGTGAAAAAAGTCGTAAAGGTCATAAAAGTCATAAGACCGCAAAGCATCTCCCACCCTCGAATTTAGTTCTTGCAACTCCTCAACCAACACATCCCAACCCCAGTCAACCTTCTCACAAGCACCTTCAAAACAACAGCACATACAGCAACGCCCACGGGCACGAGCTAACTCCCCTGTCCACCTGTCGAGAGGTACAGATCGCGTCGCGCTTCCCAGTCGCGTCGGGGTCTTTTTGGGGGATGGTGGGGATGGAGGAGAAAGAACTTGGGTTGGAGGAGGAAAAGAGGCAGGAGGACGTCTTGTCTCCCAATACCCGAAAGACCACAGACCGAAGAAGAGTTGTGGGCCATGAACTTGAACCAACTGCCGAAGTGGACGCGTTGACACCTCCAAGTCGAGCAATTTCCTTTTCAACCTGCCTAGAACGTTCTTCGAGCTCAGATCCTCTCTGATCAAACGCCCGTCCTCGCTCATCAATTGCTTGCTCTAATTCCACGACCTTATCCTCCCTCTCTTTCACCTCCCGCTCTCTCAGCACAAAAGCCTCCTCCCTCCGCCAAACAGCCTTCTCCCTCCTCTCAACCGCTTCCTCACGTCGCCCAACCGCATCCTCAGGATACCCAACAGCCCTCTGCACCTCCCCAACCCTCTCCTCCACCCCTCAATTCTCTCCTGTCTAGCCGCCGATCCAAGCTCACGTTGGTCTAGGGCTTCTTGGCGGGTTGTGAGCGTTGCAAGGAGGGCGTGTTCTGTTGTGTGTGGGCCCAAATCCAGAGCTGAAGCATCTCCAGACCCTAATGCCGATGATGCTCGTGGTGGGTCAAGATCGAATCCGCTTCACAAGTCCGGTTTCTTCTCCTTCCCCACGTCTTCCATTTCCCCCTCGTTCGCGTTCGGTTTCTCTTCTTTGCTTTCTTGAGCCTGCCCCTTCCCTTTCACATCCTCCTTCCCTTTCCCTTCATCTCCGTCTTTCTCCTGAATAGATTTACCCCCCCCTCAACCTTCGCACGAACTTTCCTCTCTCTCCCAATCCTAACAACTCCACTTCCACTTGTACTTCCTCCACCACCAGCAGATGCACGCCTAAAAGTCTCACCTAGCTCCAACGCATCTGCTCCCATTGTCGGGATACGGTGTACAGCAGGAGAGTGGTGGGAGAGGAGGAGGAGGGGGTCAGCCATGCTCGGTTCCTCGTCGCCACCTTCGGATGATCTTACCTTCTTTCCGTTTCTGTTTCTAGTTCTGGTAATATGTCTGAGTCTGGTGATGATGCTCCCCCTCTTCTTGGTGCCGGTCCTGACACTCCCTCGAGACATCATATTGATTTTCAACCAACGCCTCAACTCCAACACCAAGCCGTGGCCTGAGATGCTGCATAACAAACCCAGAATCGGTCACCGTCTTCGCAACGCACCCACGGAAAGAGGTGGGGGGGCTAAAAGAAGGTATTGTCCGTCATGCGGCGGGAGAGGAAGGGGACATGCGTGTTGTTGGCTTGGACCGCCTACACCCTGCGGGATTGGAATGGGATCACAGAACCTGTAGATCCTCTTGGGAGGGAAGACAACGTAGAGGCGCATGGCAGTATCCAATTGGAGCTCGAGCGAATGGAAGGCCCATGCCTGTGACAGCAAATGGGGACCCAGAATGCGTAAAAACGAACGGCGAACCCATGTTGAAGGAAATGTGACACAGTAGAGACAAACGGAGACACCGTAGGTAGTACCAACTTCGGAGAGTGCGAGCCAGGGCCTGTATCGTCCTCTCCATCTTTACCCCCATTCCCAGACGTGTGAAGGAAGACGGAGACCTCAAAGGCGGCACTAGCGAAGGGCTACTATGCCTACGCTAGGAAGCTTGAACTTCGTCGGGGACACCTGTCCACTTGGAGATGACGTAGACGGGGCATAGTGGCGCTGTGTGAGTGTGGTAGGACTTTGTGGTACGGTGAAGAGGAGAAGAGGGAATGGATGCCTGTGGATGTCGTTCTTATGGCGTAGGGGTGTGCGTTTGCTAGTTTTGTGGCCTTTGACTAGGGTTATGTTTGCCAGTGGGGATGACCCTGGAAGCGTCTTTGACACTTTGGCCGGTGAATTGGCGTGGAATGAAAAGGTGAATGGCGTGGACGTCGAGGAAATAGTCTAAAACTGATGTCACCACGACTCACTGCCAGCCCCATGGCCAGGCTCGAGTCTCGACTTGCGAGTCGTTACAGTCGACATTCTCAGACTGAGGTTGAATGGACTTCAATGGAGTCGGGCCCAATGTTACTTGCACAATGATACTTACGTGAATTATACTTGGTACGCTGAAGGAGGAGAAGGACTGCATAGATTTTGTGCCGTAGTATACAAGATGGTTCGAAGGTAGCCAATGGTGTTTCGTGACATAGCATAGAATCAATTAACCAAAAGAAACTCACACCACGCCGATACCTTTTCTGCCATGTCGACTTCATAATCCACGGCGGTCTAGCGCTCTTCAGCACTTAGAACTGATGCTCTGGCAGGTGACGGTGCGAATCCCGCGCTTGGATCGGACGCCTGGCACCACCTGTCTCGCTGCTGCCATTGCGCTCCCAAATCCACACTTTGACGTCAGATGGTCCTTGCCAATGGCGATACAAATCCTCAGGCTCAAAGGTCCAACACGGGGTTTTCGAAGGTCGTGAGAGGCGCCGTTGGAGGAAGCGATATATCGGACCTTGACGTCGTCGACGTAGTCGTGGTCATCATAACCGTCATCATCGTCGCCTTCAGAGCTCGTAGTCCAATTCCCAAATAGGCGAAGGCGATAAACTTGAATGCACATCTTCAGCGTCAGTGAAACATAATGAAAGGGGGGTGACAATACCTGAACGACGAGCCGGTGTCGTAGGGAAGGCCGCAATCTTGAGGAGTAATTGAAGGGTGGGAGACGTGATCAAGAGGCAGTTTCCAACCCTCTTTGGGGTTGCTCGCTGCCTTCCCGAGGATTCATCAAAGGTTGGTAACTACAACCCAGTTCCATGCAAGATCGGAGACCGGGAACCGAATGTGCAGTCACTTGTTGAAATCCAGGTTCCCAAGGTTCCCTTAGAGACTGAGCACTACGATCCACGTGAGGATCCGGGTGAGTCTTAGACCCAACGAGAATTCCATGCTGAGCCGACGCGAATTGGGTGTTAAGCAATGTCCCTCCCCTCCCCTGCTTGATGACATATTGAATATGTACCCTTGAAAGGCAGAATCAGCGAAAGGACTTACCAAAGAAACATCCAAGTCTGAGTCCAGGTCATCCAAGATCTCAATAAAGAACCTCTGAACATTCTGGGTATCGCTGAGGTGATTCTGGAGCGTATGGTGTCCACGATCAGATAGACCATCGTGTAGTGTCGGGCGGTCAATGTATCCTTTGTGACTTGTCGTTAGGCCTTCGTCCTTCAGGGTATCATCTGTCATAGATATAGCGACCCGTCACATAGAAGAGGTGATGATGAAGATGATAGTGAGCAGAAGGATGAAATCAAGGCAAGCTACCGCCAATGGTATGGCAGGAAGGCAAGCATTCTGAAGATAGGAGATGGGTGGTCGAATAGTGGGGAGAGATAGAAAGGACGTCCTTTGAAATCATAGCTGTATAAAACGGAAAGAAGAGATCGATAAAGGGAGGACGCGATACTTACGTAAGCCATTCCAATGGTCAAGTAGTGTTGGTCAAGCGTTTCGTGTTCTTGCAAGCGTACTATGCAGCTGAGCGTCCAATGTCCCATACCCTATGATGTTGATAGGAGGAAGTCCACGCTTGAGCAATGCAAGTGGCCTACCCGGCGATCGCTGTCTTAGAGGTTAGTTCGTGTTCGGTAGGATCAGACTACCCGGTAACTCACCCCAATAGATGAACTTGGGACCGAACAGCAACACAGAGAGCATCTAACATCAACGTCGAAGACATGTTTGAGGCGTAATTCTGTGTCAAGTCTATCGGTACTTGGTGAACTAGAAGCGAAGGGGGTACATACGTCGAAAAGAGCTAGCATTGTTTCCCTTCGGAAGTCGCGGAAGTGCACGATGGCTGTCGTAGTAACTGAAGACAACACCCTGCCGGAAAGTCGTTGAAAAGTTCGGCAAAAAAGGCGGAGGACCCTGTTCATTCCATGTCAACCAGAAATGGTAGGTACATTTGAAGTGATATTCTTGATGTCCTCGATATCAGTAGGCGATCGACTTTCGGTTGGAAAAACGACGGTCCCGATACCCTGTTGCACTGTCAGCGAAGGTAGAATAGATTCGAGTACGGAAGTTGATTGACCTTGAACATGTCTTGACAAACTCGCGCAACTTCACAAGAATCGTCGGGAGGTTGAACATGAAGGGTCCTATTCATGTTTGATTTGGACAGCTGGTAGAAGGAGCTATCCGAACAAAGCGGGAAATGCTCTAGACCATGATGGTAAAGACTCTAAGAAGAAGAACGAGGAGATTTCTTGAGCTTACGCCGTCATTGAGAAGAAACAAAGCCTCCAGCTGAGAAGCCTGTTGTGACGGCCAACGTCTTCGATGGCAGAAAGCGTCTCCTTTTAATCCTCCGAATCTGCTTGAACTTCCGCCAGTAGACAGTCCACGTTTAAAAAACGGGTAGGGCCACTCCCTGAGGCTCCGCAAACAGTGTGAAGGATCCTCGCACAACAAGACCCGGTCGTCGAACGCCAAAATCGTAGTATAGGCTATCCCATCCCGCGACATGCAGAATTATCGGAGTACAAGTTGGTAGTGTTGCAATGGCGAGCTTTTCATCGTTATGAGGAGGGTCTCATGTAATGCCTACACATTCATGAGAGGTGAGGGTGCGAGCATGATATAAAATACGCACAGATGGTCCCATAATATCGAAGGCACAAAGCCATGGGGTACTTATACGTATAGTTGGTTGGTACATGATATTGAGAAACTTCGCCTCATGACTTGGTCGCGACGTGGTGGAGACCTTTTCGCCCTGGACGTCTTTAGGCGTTATGATTGGGGAGACGGCGCCTTGTTTAATGGTAGACTTGAAGGACGTGAGGTAGAAGTCAGATATGAAATGGAACAGAGGCACTCGGATATGGTTGTGCAGTTGGATTCACTGAACGAGGTATGGCGTTGTAAGCAAACGTATTGTCAGATAGTAAGTACTTACGACGATGGGGACTATTGGGGCCCGTGTAACGATCTTATTTGCTGTAGGTGTTGGTCAGGTACTAATTTACGAGCGTACTGCGTTCAACGTCAACACCTCTCTTCCGCCATCAGAACTGTATCGCTAACCTTTATTTCCACCTCTCTCCCATATAATCGTGGCTCCTCATGAACTTGCGTTGTGGTACTTTCCAAGTTGAGAGCTTGAGAGGCCGGTGCATGCGCTGAATGATGGAAAGGCGGAGGTACTTGGTCACGGTCAACTGGAGACTCCGTGCTCTGGCGACGGTTGACGCATAAGCGGCGTTGTCTGCGTTGTCTCATGCATAATGCTCGATGAAGGTGGTCCGATGACTCTTTCCTTCAATCGTCCATCCTGCTAACATCTCAACAGGTTCTGGTTGGCAGCGATGTCTACACTGCCTGGTCATGATCATACGTCTAGTTCGACTCCCTCTCTAGACGGCAAAGGGGGTACAGATTCATCTGCGGAAGCAGGAAAGTCAACGAAAAGAACGGGTCTCAGCTATGGTGCGCCCTATCCTGAAAATCTACTGCTGGCTTGAATGGCTGATCTACTCACGCAGTTTATTATCGTCTATACACCCAACTCGGTGCATTCGAATCAATTCACCCCCTTTACCACAACGACCGTTTCATTGGCCGCATTCCAACGATCTTTTCCCCCTCCTCATACGGTGGCGTCTGTCAAGCGGTCCCTCTGCAAACTTGAGGGCCTTTTGAGGCCCGAAAAGGCGCTTTTTTTCGCAACTCTCTCAAGCCCAGCGCCCAAAGAGGACTCTGCTCGCCTCTCTCTTTCTGCTCCTTCTGGGCCAGGCTTGTTTGAACAAGATCCGATCGCGCTAGTCGTCGAGTCGGAGAAGAGGACCAACTTGAACATTACGCTGTCGGAGAAGCCCCCGGAATGGTCTGATGATACTGATGTCCACTACGGTACGTCTCGTCCCCGTCTCTTACCAAAAAAATGCACTTACTAGCTTTGCAGTATACTATCGCGTTTATTCATCAGAGGGAGAAGGCGAAGGAAAGGCAAAGACATCCTTCGATGAAAATGATATTTCGTTAGGGCGCATCGACACCCTCTACATCGCTCCCCCTCTCACTGCAGGGTCTTTGAAAGCACATATCGCAAAAGCTGAAGGTCTGGTCATGCCGGGTCATCCACTGTACAAGGATATGGAACTCTTCCAAGACGCGAATAGTGACGCTGCCATGAGCGACACTGATATCATATCCTTTGAAGATGACAATTATCCCGGTAGTGATGAAGGCGACCCCGTAGCCCTTGTTAATGCCATCACCAACACAGCAGCGGGCCAAAAGGCTAAGCCTACACCAGGTAAAGTTCTCGGCGAACAATCATTATACACTGCAGCAACAAACCGTGCTTTTCAAGGTGGACCAGCTCCAAAACTCATGAAACCTGCTCGAATACTCTATACCAATGGCGAGTGACGTTCCTGCGATAATCCGATCCTTATGCTAAAGTGTCCCATAGCACGCTACGAAGTAAACAAGCACACCTGGCTATCAGTAATTCAAGATGAGATCGTTCATGCGGATGGAGTTGTCGTCTCCATGATAAACTGGATTGACAATCGTATGTCTTTCCTTTTCTGCCTTATCACAGATTATTGACGCTTTGTCGGAACAGGGTATTATCCAGCATACATGGCGATTAATTCCAAGGGTGAAAAAGGCTGTAAGTTTCCAATTTGCCTTTGGGTCACTAGGTGGTTGTTGATTTTCTTTGCCAGTTGTGGAACAGGGTGAGTGGCCTCCTCTCTCTTTCGGAGTATTTGATAACCACTGTTTGCTAGAATATGTTAATTGAATTTGATTGGTGATGTTTCCTTTCGGAATGGGATATGTCGGGACTTACAGTCGTGGACAAGCAAAGCCCACTAAAAAAATGGCTGACATAGCACTTTCTTTTTGAGTATCTGAAACGTTGTGTATTAGTTAGGTGAAGCTCCCGGCCAAGTTTCAAAGAGATTCACCGAGCCGTTCTTGAGAAAATGTCTATTTAAGGAAATGGTCCCTGAGATTTTGGCGAAAACCCTTAAAAGGACATGGAAAAATCTGAAAAAATGTGTAATCGCTTCCTTTTGATAAATGGTGCGTGTCCACCACGTTCCAAAGGGTTTCATCGAGTGGTTGCCCCACAATAAAATGTTGAAATTTGACTGTATACGCCAATGCCTCCTAAGAAGAAAGTCAAACGCAACATCTCTGGTCTCCAAAATCAGTCGAAGCCCACGACAGGCGTTTCTCACACGGATTCGGAGCCAATCTGCGGCCCGCGGGTGGAAACATCCCACACACCTGATCTGCTGATAGATAACGATCTCGATGATGTCGACGATGAAGAGTGGGTTCCCAATGTGCACGTTGACAGCAGTAGACCAGTGTGTGATGGTGTAGAGTCCGATGGTGATATTGATAGTGAAGACGAAGAGGATTTTCTTGACAAGGTCGAGGAAATACGGCCCGGGGTGAATCCAAGAAAGTACAGAAACAAGGGCTTGTATGTCGCCCTCATGCGAATGGCGATGGATGTCGGGGACAATTTGATGGATGAGGATTGGGTGCCAAAAAAGACAAGAAAGAAGTTGCGGAAGGAGAGAAAGAGTGCGTGCTTTAAACTCGGCTTTCACTTTCCGCGTTAATCCCATTTTGATAGTCGCAAACCGTCCTAAAGAATATAAAAAAGGTCCAGATGTTGGGAGCAAATCGACGCGAACTCAATGTCGTTATAAGTCCCTTTTAAAAGATCAGAAGACTCTTGAAGATCTCGGATTCACGAAGACTGACAAAAGGCCATGTATAGACCATGAGGACAACATGGAATCAGATTCAGGTCAATCGGATTCGAGTGGATTTGGGGAAGATACATTTGAGGTCTGTCAAATATACTTTTTAATCAAATTTAGAGCTGCTAAAATTTTATCAGGTTGACACAATCAAGCAGGAGAGTCCAGAGCTCGAAATTCCTCTTGAAAGAGACGCAGAGATTGTTGCCGAAGAAGATGCAGGAGAAAATGACATTCAAATTCGCATTGAATCTGCCAGCCCACCCCGTTTAATGTTTGATGACGAAACCCCAGCAGATGTTTTTTGTGATTTGGTCCAGATCCGTGAAGAATCGATGAGTCCACCGCGTTTATTATTTGATGACCAGATCTCGCTCCTAGGAAAGAGAAAGAATGGATGCGAGAGTAACCCCGAAAATTCTGCAGACCCCCATCATGCAGCTCAGAAAAATACTGATGATTTAGAACTTGCAGATGAGGAATGGGAGGCGGAACTCGACGAATGCTTTGCGTCAAATCCAAGCGAAATACGAGACTGGCACGCACTTCGCGATCAAATTAAGAATGACCTCAATAAAAAATTCAAGTCGCTTCCCTTATCCCAAATTAACCAACTCATGATTCTTCGTAATTTCGCCACGCTTCGCCTCAAAGGACTTGGTAGAATAGAAGCAAGCAAAGACATTGCCAAGCAGTGGCACCAAAAACTCGAAGGATCGTCAGATCATTTTGCAAGGAGAATCCGAGCCCTTGCACGCCACTATCAAATTTTTGAACAGCTTCCCCGGGAGCGACGTGGTGGGCAGAAGAACTCACGATCAATTTTGAAAAATGAGGCAGTTCGTCGTGCATCTCGTGCTTGGCTTATCCAGCAGCAGAAGGGGAAAGTTACCCCAGTCAAATTTCAGAAAGGCCTTAACGAATCAATACTTCCATCGCTCGGTATTTATCCCAACAAGCCACTTTGCAAGAGAACAGCTCGTCGCTGGCTCGTTAAGCTTGGTTGGCATCGCACCAGAATTAAGAAGGGCGTTTACGTGGATGGACACGAACGGGCAGACGTTGTTTCCTATCGTCAGAATATTTTCCTTCCAAAAATGGCCGAATTTGAAAGCCGAATGGCGAGGTATGAGCGTATAGGTGATGATTTACAGAGAATTTCACCCTTGCTTCAACTGGGAGAGAAAGAAATTATCCCCGAGTTTCACGATGAGTCGTCTTTCCATGCCTTTGAGCATACAGCATCGGTTTGGTATGTTTATTGTTCCCTTGGCTTATTTGCCTTAGTTCTAACTATTGTTTTTTGTTCCAGGTTACATTCAACGGAGCAGATCATCCCAAAAAAAGACAGGGGACGCTTAATACACATCTCAGAATATATTGAGGCTGAGAATGGGCGTTTGGTCGTGAACGGCCCAAACGGTGAAGTTTTAAAGGAAGCACGGCAGATAATCTATCCAGGCTCCAATGGTGATCCATGGTGGGATTCCAAGCAGCTTATTGATCAGGTGAAAAACAAGGCAATCCCGGTTTTCGAAGAAGCACATCCAGGATGCCAGGCACTTTTTATCTATGATCAATCATCTGCTCACGCCGCATTAGCACCTGATGCGCTCAAAGCCTTTGAAATGAATAAATCGAACGGTGGAGCGCAACGTCGGCAAAAAGACACTATTATTCCAGATTCAAATCCATTTCCAGAATATCGCGGCAGGATTCAAAAAATGACCACCGAGACTGGGCAACAAAAAGGGCTTCAACAAACTCTTGAAGAGCGTGGCTTTGATGTGCGCCACCTTCGCGCTAAATGCGCACCAGTCTGCCCTTTCGAGAATGAGAATTGCTGCATGGCACGTCTTCTCAGTAAGCAAGAAGATTTTGCTAACCAGATTTCCGTTCTTGAAACTGTAATTCGGGAGGCCGGGCATGAGTGTATTTTTCTTCCTAAATTCCATTGCGAGCTCAATCCCATTGAAATGGTGAGCCTTGATACTTTCCTATGGCAAACTTTATTCTGATTCTACTCTATAGTATTGGGGATGGGCTAAATACAGATATCGACAAGTAGACAAGAATACTTTCCAACAGGCAAAAGACGCTGCCTCAGAAGCGCTGAACGCTTGTCCTCCTGAGGTGATCCGGCGATTCATCAACCGATCGTGGCGGTGGATGTCAGCTTATCGCATCGGATTGACTGGGGAGGCTGCCCAGTGGGCTGTGCGAAAGCAGAAAGGGCATCGCAGCGTTTCGAGGACCGCAATGATGCATTTAGACTCAGTACTCAACTAAATTTCGTATCTACATTGGCGGTTTTCGACCCCAAAAATTTGGCGCTTCCTAATTACTCGTGGGAAAAACTTCGGAGGGGGTGTTTTCGACGTCTTTTGAAAAACTGAGCAAGATTCTGAAAAAATCTCGCGATTTCATTGAGTTTTCAGCCAGATAAGCAATTGGTGGGCTTTGCTTGTCCACGACTGTAAGGTGGAAATAAGGTCATTACATCAGACGTCTGGTCGCCTTGTAAGGCAACCGCCCCCCGGATTTTCCCGGCATCATCTCGTCAGGTTTGCCGTGAAATGACAAGGGCTGGCAAGGGTTGGGCAAGGCCTGATTATGTTGGCGATCAACATTGCAAGGCCGGAGCCTTAT